CTCACAGCTCCAAACACTGCCAACCGCACTGAGATCAGTGGTCAGACTTTATACAGCACGATAAGAATGTGTTAAAAAATAAAGATTTTTATTTATATATGAATTAAAAATCACTTAAAAACCAGAGCCACAATATAAAAATGTCAATTGCACAAGTACTCAAAACATTCACAAATTCAGACCTTGCTGCCGAAATAACGCACGCAAACCAATAAAACTTTACATTTCTGCACACGGCGCGAGTACATAACAGCACACTGTCGCTGCAGACCATGTGCTGCATGCAAACAGAGCTGCTCCTCGATGCAGCTGTTCAGTCGAAGCGCCTCGCGACCACAACATCTGCATCTTTATCTGCCCGTTTCTAAATACCTGAGAGGATGCTGGAGTCTCTGCCATCCACGTGCGTCCCTCTGCATCATCTCACGAGCATCTCCAGAGCGTCTTTAGTCCTTCATCGAGCTGCATGACTGTCTTCTGCTCATCGATCCCAGATCATCATAATCATCGCCTGTTCTTCAACACACACCCCCGTGTTTACACGGCATGCTGTAATACCAGCCCCTCTACACCCTCCATCTGCAAGGGCTGGAGATTTTATCCTGACTTGATCTACACACAGGGACCAAACCAATCACATTTCATCCACATTTAGTGGTTTGTGTCTCGTTTAACCCGTTCAGTGCCACAGTACTGGGAAACAAATATATAGTGAATATCTATCTGTCTATATAAATATATAACATGTATACAAAAAACTTTTATTATTTATTTTATTGAATTAAACCAATATTTAAATAAAAACCATCATACTATAAAATGTGCCAACATATATATATATATACACACACATACATTTCTGAATAATTTATTACATTTAAGAAATTATTAAAGTGCCCTATTATGGATTTTTGAAAATTACTTTTTATGCAGTGTAACACTGCTCTAAGTGAATGAAAACATCCTGCAAAGTTTTAAATCTGAAAGTGCACCGTGTATAAAGTTATTGTCTCCATGAAATTTTTGTTATAGGGTAGGGTTTTTAAAAAACATTTAATAAACGAACATGCAGTCTTCTCACAAACTGTGTAGATGCAAATCAGTGTTAATTTTTAGTATAACTGATATGTTTGTTAACATTTTGAATTATATTTTATTTTTGTATATTTTCCTCTAACTTTAATTTTAGTTACATTTTGTCCTTTTTATTCGTTTTTTTTTTAACATATAGTTTTTGTTTTTTATGATTAGAAATGTTGCCTTGAAAAAGAGCTGAAATAAAATGTGTTTAAGCTTTTTATTTTCTGTAACGAGAATGTTTTTATGGTTATAGTTTTAGTTAACGACACTGTCATTTTTTTCCAAATTGTAAATGAAACCGATAATTGGAACATATTTTACATGAAAATACTACACTGTAAAAAAATGAATTTGTAAATAAAATGAAGATATTAAAGTGCCCTATTATGGATTTTTGAAAATTACTTTTTATGCAGTGTAACACTGCTCTAAGTGAATGAAAACATCCTGCAAAGTTTTAAATCTGAAAGTGCACCGTGTATAAAGTTATTGTCTCCCAAAAGAAAGAGTCGACTCTGAATCATTGAAAGTCGTTTTTAAAACGAATCCCAAGCCGTTTCATGTTGACGTCAACATGAAACATTAGCATATTGCTGCCCACTTGTTGGTCTGAATGAAGATGCAAATTCATTCTTTGCCACTAGGTGCCGCTTTTGGGGAGGTAAAAATAGCAGTTTCCCCGGTAAGGCTGTACACAAAGCAGCACTGTGCTTACAAACACTGCTTTATCACGCATGATGAAATGGAAATGAGACCAATCACCGCAGATTAGCGTCAAGCAAATGAGGGGTTTGGAAAAAATGAATCATTGAGCGAATCTTTTGGGAGTCGTTGTGCAAGTAAGGTATATATACTGGTCTTATTAGACTTCTCTGGCATCTAACTATCCAGTAAGTTAAACAGTGACTCAAAAAACCTCGCCGGAGACATCAAGTCGTTTCTGAAGTTTATGCTTCAACTGTGAAACTGTAAAAATATACAAAAAACAATTAAAGTATACACCATAATTATATCAAAATAACATTCTTATATGTATCACACAATATATTCAACACTGCGTACTCACAGACATTGCGTCTAACAGAAGAAAGAAGATATTTCAGAATGAGCCTCGCACAGAACAGCTACAACATTCTGCTGACTCACTGCAGTACTGCTCAAACTTCCTGCTTCTTGAACTATGTGACTGCTTTTCAAAATTAAAGTCCTCACTTGAGTAGACATATACAAAATAATAAATTCAATGAAAAATCTAAATCAATTCTGTCCTGAACAATCCCCGCCTGGGATTTTAAGAATTCCAAAAATTATAACTTGTCATCAGGTGACAGAAGAAGGATAAGTTCGGAGATAGGACGTGACAGAATTTTTTGAATGCCATCTTTAGTGACTTTAACATCAGCTTTCCTCACCAATCCATCTTTGCTTGGTGAAGTTTTTACAACGATTGCCATTGGCCACTCATTTCTGTTAACTTGAATGTTCTTTACCAAGACAATATCCCCCTCTTTTAGAACAGTTTTTTTGTCTTGCCACTTTCGTCGGGATTGCAAAGTACTAAGGTATTCTTTTTTCCATCTTGTCCAGAAGATGTCGGCTAACCTTTGTACTTGTTTCCATTCTTCCTTCAGCAACTCATTATTCCCAAAGTCTCCAGGTGGGGGAGGTGTTGCACCTGTCTTCTGTGTCAAAAGAGTGGCAGGGGTGAGAATAAAGGGAAATTCTGGGTCAGAGGACACTGGGATTAAAGGCCGTGAATTCATCACTGCAGTAACTTCCGCCATGAATGTTGTTAAGACTTCGTGTGTGAGATGGGAAGATTTCTCATTAAGAAGCATACAGTCAAGAATGCGACGAGCAATCCCGATCATTCACTCCCAGTGACCACCCATATGAGATGCGTGAGGTGGATTGAATTTCCAGGTGCAATGTTGTTACTTCAGATATTTCTGAACATCCTCTGAACTGACACTAGATTCATCCATTTTGAGTTCTCGAGAAGCTCCAACGTAATTTGTGCCACGATCTGAATGTAGTTGTTTAGCTGGCCCTCTGATAGCAAAAAATCTCCTTAGGGCATTGATGAAACTACTAGAGCTCATTGCTTCAATTACTTCGATGTGGACAGCTCTTGTGCACATACATGAAAACATAACTGCCCACCTTTTGTAATTAGTTTGACCTCCTCTGGTCTTACGGGCAGTCACTTCCCATGGTCCGAAAACATCAACACCCACATATGATGCTCATTTTTTAGCAAGTTGTCCACAAATTCCAGGAAGTGTGCTTTCATTTGCGGTCGCTTGTTCAGAGTGTCTCAGTGCAAGAAGACGTTTCAATGCATAGTCTTTGTTGTTAGGTAGACTTTGTCTGGGCTCACGAAAAGGTAACGGAGCAACCCAACTATTGCAGCTGTCTTGGAAGACCTCTTTGTCCATGATCTGGAGAAACCTAGCAACTTTCAGTTCTATTTCTCTTTTAGTGTATGCTGCTCTGGCTTGTGCGGCTTTTGCTTTCGCCTTGAAAAGAGCTATGCTGGCACTTGAGTGACGACTGGGTCCCCTCGAAGAACGACTGGATGCTTTAGAGGAACGTGTGCCATCGGCTGTGTTATTAATTCTGAGCTTGATGCCTGATTACTGACCCTTCTCTGGCATCTCAAGGGTTAAACCGCAGCCATAATCCATAAAGCCTTGTTGGAGATTATGAATCGGTGGATAAATCAGCTTCCCATTCAATATCTCTGCTTGAGTTTGATCTGTTAATGGTTTCCGTCCTCAACACAGGCCTGAAATCCTGCACAAAAATTCAAAAGCTGACGTCATAATACAAAATAATTTAAAAGAATAAGAAAACATAACCATGAAATGATAAAATCGAGCCTCTTTTAATGCAAAGTTTTCTATATTTGACAGACTTCGCTCACTCTATAACTGGCAGATCCGTTGAAAGCACACACACGCTAAAATAGGAGGATATGAACATCAGACTGTGGCTGAATGCGAAAGCCTGATATCAGACGGAAGGCCACTGGGGTCACTTCCGTATGGAAACAAAGCAGCTAATTCAGATCGATGCACAACACTATGAATGAGACTCTCTCGCTGCATAACCCATAGGAACTGACTGCAGGTGTCCCCAAGAGTCACAGCAAATATAGAAATATACGTTTTTGTCTTCCATAGTAGAAACTGTAAAGTCTTTGAAGAAAGAAGAAAAGACTCAAAATGATCCATTCATAAGTATCTGCTGTTATCTGCACGCGCCGCTAAATTAAGAGAATGAGGTCCTCTGGTGGAATACTCTTGAAATGACAAAGAACGATACTTGCATCAGGGGTTTCAAATAATATGATCATCCTCTTGCTAGGAAACTTTTCCCAAAATATAAAGCCTCCTGTATATTTTCATGCATAAAGACCAAATTATACTGAGAGACAAAAACATCGAGCATTATATTATACATGTAGTTTTTGAATAAATAATTGCATTTTATTTCACCACTGTACTAAATCCAAAACAAATGATTAAAAATTGTTCTGGAAATGTACATAAGTTGAGAGCATATCTAATACATGTTTGTTAACTCAATATTAGAGAACTCCTGGATGCATAAACATTTTCAATTCAATCTGAATTTATATTTATATACTTGACATTTGGTTTTTAACTAAATTAAAATCTTACTGTTACAAATGCTGTCAGCTGAATTATCATAAATTCGGACAAGTCAAATTCAGTACATACATCACATTAAATCATAATTAACTGCAAGTTACCACATCAAAATAAAATACATAAGACAAAATCTTTTTTTTTTTTGTCCTTCCTACATTTTTCATGGACTAAAGGTTTGAAAACCTCTGCATTACATCATGGATCAAGAATGATTCTGATTGTCACTTCAGACAGAAAAAAAGTTTATTTTACGCACCCTTCATAAAAATCCTACTTTACAGCGTTTCAAAAACTGAACTCGTGGTTAAACAGACCAAAAGAACAAGATAGGATTTACAATACAGAGATGCCCTCAGAAACACCTCTAGCTTGCATCCTCTATTTATAAATAATTTCAGACTATGTATATTTTACAGCTTATTTTGTACAGATCTCCAGGGGTAGAGGTAAAAAAAAAATCAGCTTTAAACATTTTAATTCAAATCATTCAGGAATGAAAAACAAAACTGTGCACTGAAATAAAAACTAGTCAAATGTTAACTGCATTGATTCATCTCCTAGGCAGAATTACAATATAGGTAAACCGTATAAAGGCCGATCAGTGAAATGTCCTCTGGTCGGATGTCTACTGTAAGCTGGGAATAATACACACAACAGCAAAAATGCACACAGATGCACTGCGGATTGCTGTGCCATTAGTTGCACTTTATCATGCGTAACACAATTCAGTCACATGAAAGCAGGTGTGATTACCAACAGGACAAAAAAAGACCAGAGTGCATCTTCCGTTGCATAAAAATACTCACGTGATGAGAATCCTGGAAAAAAAAAAAAGACGTAAAACCACACATTATGAAAGATAGTGTGCTTGCTTTGGGGTAAAAATTAAATACAGTATATATAAATAAATAAAAAACAGACGATTTTTAAAGGTTGAATGATTTTGGTTTAAAATTGACTTCAAACTACTTTAAGTTTGAACGTACAACCCCAAATTTAGCACAACAAAGGCAGTTCAGAACACAGAAACAGGAAGCCCGTTCTTGCCACACAACAAAAAAATTAATACGTAACTGTGACTTTATCTCACAATTCAGCCTTTTTTTCCCATCAGAATTGAGAGACTAACTCAGAATTCTAATGTTCTTCCTTGCAATTCTGTTTTATTGTTTCCACCACAAAATAAAAAATGTTTAATTCTATTTTCTTGCAATAGCGAGTTTATATTCCACAATTCGGACTTCTCAGAATTTTGAGTTTATATCTTGCAATTCTGCTTTTATATCTTGCAATTACAAGAAAAATCATCTGAATTATGATATATGCACAACAAAAAGTTGCAATTACCTTTTTAATTTTTTTATCCCATGGCGGAAACAAGCTTCTATGCATTTCATCGTACTACAGTAACCTTACAATAAACTACAATAAGGGCACCTGGTTGGTTTAAGGTTTAAATTGGTCCATAAAATGATTGAGAGGTAGTTTAAATGAGAACTGAATGTATTTATGTCCTAATCCCAACTGGAGAGCAATGGAAAGAAGGGATTTTGGAAAAACTCAAGTGTTTCGCGAGTCCTTTTTCGAAGGTTGTGTCACTAACTTCTAAAAAGAAAACAAAAAAAAAGAAGCACCATTTTAGATGTTGATTCATCATGAGGTCAGAAACAGCTCTGACTGCACTATAAGAACTGGTGGAAGAGTCTCTCGAACTACTTACAGATGTTCAAAAACTTTCTCCGTGTAAATTCTCCGTTCAACCCTCCACAGGCTGTGCGCATTTCGGACACTGGTCCTCGTCCTTGGGAATGAGCAAATCGCACAGAGCCGCTCGCACGCTCATTCTGGGCTCCCACGGCGAACCCACGTGGAAGTTCTGGTAGCCCTGACACACTCCCAGCCCCTCCAAGTCCAGCAAGAGCGACACCACGTCATCGACCGTCTCGAGGCAGGTGGGGTGGCGCGAGTAGATGGCGTGCATCAGCAGCAGAGGCTGGTTCTGAACGCTGACCTGGTAGAAGAAGCCCTTCTCGATCTGGACCACCGTGTCAGCCATGGTGGAGAGTTTGGAGCACTGCAGGAGCTGGAGGACGGGGCCTTTGGCCATGACGCCCACCCAGTGAGCGGGCAGCACGGTCTGGCCTAGGGAAGTGAACAGCTCCATCAGTCCTTGGTCTCGGTCGCAGTCGTTCTCTCCTCCCGCCAGACTGAAGATCTGAGTGATCTACGAAAGCAGACGTGACATTTGCATGGTGTGACATGGTTGGTAGCTGTTGACTGCGCTGAAGGCATCTTAAAAGCATCAATCAATAAGGGTTCGATTTTTTTTTTTTTTTTTAAGTATACAACGGACGATTTAGACCAGGGGTTTCAAACTCAGTTCCTGGAGGGCCGGAGCCCTGCAGAGTTTAGAATCAACCCTAATTAAACACACCTGATCCAACTAATCAAGTCCTTCAGGCTTATTTGAAAACGGCATGTTTTGTGTGTTGGGCTCCGGCCCTCCAGGAACTGAGTTTGACACCCCTGATTTAGACACTTTTGGGCACTTAAAAAAAATGTCCGAATTTCACTGTATACGATAACAAAAAATATCAAAACATAAAACCAAAAGAATATAAAAAAAATATCAGTAAAGAAAATATGAACGGGTGATTTTTAGTGGATGTATGAGGTGAGTTCTCAAGTTTACAAAGGTATAAGAATAACCAAAGGTGTAAAAAAAAAAAAAAAAAAAAAACAAATAACC